TTTTTTAACCAAAATTTCAAACGTACTTCTTTTTATTATTTTATTATAGTATTATATATTATTTATTATAGTACTTTTCTTTTTTAGTAGATTTTTTAATCGTTTCTAGCGATTAAAAAATCTAATAAAATAATAAAAAATACTTTGGTTTTTCCTCTTAATAATAACTTAAACATTTTGACGATAAAACTTTGTTCTTATCAAGTATGGGGTCTTTTTCATCATTGTAAGCTCTTTTTTTACAAAATGTTTGAGGTTTCTAAACAAAAACATTACTGATTACACAGGCACTATGTTGTGACATGTCAAAGGGCATTGCAATGTGAGGTAATGGTTAGCAAGTTTGTCACGCTAGACCAACTACGACTGAGTAGTGAGTTCGATCCTCGCCGTTGCTTCTTACTTTGTAAATCAGTGATATGTGAATTTAGGACTGATTTTGTTTTAATTATGTGCCAATACATACTTTGCTGACAAAATGCAAGTCAGATTCTTCTTCTTCGTCTTCTTCTTCTTCTTCATGTGCCGAGTCACCCCAGGGCGTAGGCAATCATAGCTCTTTAACATTTCCTGTCCTTCGTAGCTCTTAATAAATTGTCTTCAATTTCTCTCAAACCCTATTCCGCGATCCATTTACTCAACTTTGCTAGGTAGGTTACGCGTTGTTTTTCCTCTGTCCCTCATTCTGTCCTGTGAGTATCAGATTTTCCAAGCTCTCCTTCCTCATTATGTGACCCAGAAATTTCAACTATCTCTTCCTGATGTTAGATACAAGTTTCATTTTTGCTTCCATTTTCTCTAAAACCACGTCGTTGCTCACAAGTTCGGTCCTATGGTATCCTCAGCGTCCTTCTGTAGAGTCACCTTTCTGCTGCTTCAAGTCTCTTCTTCAGATTAAGCTGTTGTCAATATAAAAACAATAACTTGGACGAAAGCGCTTAGGACAATAGTCATTACGGACAGATTCTACACTCTCTCGGCCCACGTAAGGCTTACGGCTATATCACGTTGAACACCGGTTCGAACCTTGTCAGTACCTAGATGGGTGACCGCTTGGGAATACCAGGTGCTGTAAGCTAGGATGTGCGGGTGGTGTAATGGATAACAACACGGAATTGGAAATCACAAAACCGAGTTTTAATTCAAGTCGAGTTCGTTATATCCACTTAAACACAAATAACTTTGGGAAAGGTATGAATCCAGTTCTTCTACTCCTAACTATGGATTAATTAGTAGGACTTATATCAGTAAATCATTATTATCTCAAAAAGAATTCTTAGAATTCAAAAGTATTTTTTAGCTGTAAAAATGTTGATAATCCGTAAAATACCAATCAGTCACTCAATCAATCAATTAATTACGGCCTGTTTCCACATCGAGCTGTATTCAATTTAATCCAATAGTCAAACTATTATCCTTATCTTGCTTGTTATTATCATTATTTTTTGTCCATTGTATGCTCCAGAGATATTTTTAGAAATTCAAATCAAATACTTTATTCAAGTCATGGGATAGAGTGTTCACATTTTCTTGTGAATTCTAGAGGTCCCAAATGCTATGGCCACATCGCTGTACAGCTCTGGAAAGTGCTTAACTTCTCCTACGATGCTTTAGGTGGTCTAATGGATAGTGGCTCAGAATTGTTAATCGGAGAGCCGAGTTCCAATCCCCACTGGATTCGTTATATTTATTTATACTCAAATATCCTTGGGAAATGGATGGTTCTAACTCTTTTTTCCCAGACATGGGTTAAATCATTATTATCTAAAAATAAAATTCTTACAATCTAAAAAATATTTTCTGGCTTTAAATAACCTGCAAAGAGTTGATATGTCTTAGAAAACCCAAATCAATCAAGAAGCCATGGCAGTTCACAGATTATAGAGAAAAGGGATCTATGGAGTATCACAATTGTCTACGTCTGAAAAGAACATGACGTATCCTTTCAATGTATGAGATAGTAATGTTGAAATACAATCTAAATGTGAGTCAAATTTATTAACCTTTTTCTGCTTTTAGCTAATATTCTCCAAAAGAAATTAAAGAATTCCTACACGTCTTTCTGTTTCCATTTGTTTTCCTTTATAAGATTTTAGATCAGACCGAAAATGAATTACTGTTGCCGTATCGGGGTTAGTGCTGTCCTGTCCTCACTTTCCAGCATCGACAGTAGTCAGAATCGTTTACGCAGCTTTGTGAGGATTTTCCACCCCCACAGACGGAAAGTCGCATGCCTATCGCTATTCTATCTATACTTCTATAGCAAATGTTTGGACTAGCCACTAGCTGAAACCTTTACAGCCTAGACCCGTCTTGCTACGTCTACGGGGCTGAATTAACCCTCATTCCATTGGTAAAAACAGTGTTCCACTAAGAAAGACGATAATCTACATCAGGCAGTAAGCCGTCTCATTGAGATATTGGAGGTCTTGAGTAGCGTTGAACCACATCTTAATTGTTGCTGTTTCCAGGTCTACCCTCACCCGGGGTGGTAGGACCTTTTAAATCCCAAATATGAACAAATAACGAAAAAAAAAACAGTACATTTTTATAGTAATATTACCAACCATACATTCTGTGATCTATAAAATATATCTAAAAATATACATTTACTCTGAAAGTATAAATTTATGTACAAAATATCTGCAGTTGAAAGCATAAAATATTTAGACTTCAACATTAAAGGTTGATATACCGCCAAAAAAAAATCATCCAAACAACTAACATGAAAGAAATCTTTCATGACTTTAAACCTTATAATATCCTACAATTCCTTTAAAAATCAAACCGTATTTCAAAATACAACTTCAACCAAACTACAACATAAAACACAAGTATCATCGCCTCTACTAATCATATCCACACAAACTAGTATAGGTGTTGCGGACCCGGTAGTATGCAGTGCTGGTTTATTAAAAAGTGGCCTTGTGCCAGACACTACTTATGACTACCGAATCCACAAACAAAGTAAAAAATATTAAATGAGTGAGGAAAAGGGTTATTCAACAAGTGCATAAAAATAATACAAGTAGATAGCCAGGATTAAACGACAAAATGAGTCTGGTGGAAAACAGATAAGAAATTTTATTTTAATAACAAATAATCTTGTCTCAACAGTGGAGACCATCAGAAAAGGAAAGGTCTGTTTTTAGCCTGTAGGCTGTTAGTAATATGTAGTAATTAATAGAATTTTAAAGTTCCGCGCCAAAACGAAAAAACCAAGATGGCTAAGGCGGGAAAAGTTCTTCAGGAAGAAAGTTCTGGAAAAATGTCTTGTTGAACGAAAGGTGTAAGCATACACAACAAGGAAAAATACTCACTGCGAGGTTTAATAATGTGTGTGTAATGCTATCTTAAAGGTACTGGTTCGTAAGGATTAGAAGTTTCAAAGGTGTATCAACAGTTTATCAATCTTCTTCAGTGAAGGAAAATTCAGAGTTGTTCGCGTCAAGACGAGGAAATTAGTCTTGGATAGGTGTGAGGGCGACCGTGTTGTAGAACTCTGGTAGTGAATAGAGGAAAATTCGAAAGTTGTTCGCATCAAGACGAGAAGTTGGTCTTGGAAAAATATATTGACGACAGTGTCGTAGAACTCTACATTTTCTAGCTGAAAACGGAGGAAAGTTCGACATGCTGTTTGCATCAAGACGAGGATGAGTCTTGGAAAAATGTGATGTCGACATGTTGAAGTTTTGGTTAGTTAAGAATAAGATATTCCGGCCCGCGTATGGGTTAGGGGCACGGAATAAATGAGTTGACCTGCTAGCTTGAAAATCGGGTCGCAACTAACTTGACGTCAGGACACACGCGGGAAAAAATTCAAATTCTGATTTTAGATGGTATCAGGAGTAGCTAGCTAGCCAGCCTTCCTCACGTCGGCGTTTACTACTATGTCTAGCTGAACGTGACAGGTAGGAGTGCAGTCCGCCCGCGCGCGCTCACACGCAAAAGGGTGGAATCCACGATTCCACATAGGCACAAAAGCTGAGTATCATCTACCATGTATTCAATTGTGAAAGCAGAATAACATATTTTTTATTACTTTAACGTTAAATGACCTACAAGTAATCAAACTAACTAAACCAAACCAAATCACCCAAGTCCGTTTAAAATACTATAAAGAATTCTTTCGTGACATTAATCCAGATAATATCCTAAAATTTCTTAAATCAAACTCTTTTCCAAAATATAACTTCAAAAAAAACTACAACATAAAACACACATATCACCGCCTCTAGTAAACATGTCCATACAAACATGTATAGGCACAAAAGCTGAGTATCATCTACCATGTATTCAACTGTGAAAGCAGAATAACATATATCATATTTTTATTACTTCAAAGCTCCCATGCGAAACAACTCTAATAATCTGTTACCCTGAACGGTTTTGCCTCAGTCAGCTTCATTTTACGTGTTAATTCTCCTTATGTTATTCTCTACGTTTACAAGAGGCAAACCAGGCCGAGAATGGAGGACAATTGTCATATTTGGGCGGGAACTGCCCAGACAGCAATCTCCAGCCTCGATAGAATCCAAAAGTGTATCCGACTCTTTGTAAATGACGAATTATTTTCCACTCTCCGAATTCTCTTTCACAGGCGGGATTCCTCTCGCTGCTCTGTTACTATTTTCGCGAAAAGTTCTTGGACGAACTACATTCCTTGGTTCCGTCATATCTAACCTTCACGGTAAGGACCCGCCATGCCACTTACATTGTATCAAACCACCCACATTGTCCCCGTATTTCATCGGTGAGTAGTAAATTCCACTTGAACAGCTTATTCCTGCGAACCACTGCTCTGTAGAACCGACTCCCAAGAGGATGTTTTTCCCTAGCACTATAATCCTAACCTGTTCAATGTTAGAGTTAACCCTTATCTTTCCCTCCTGTGCGCATAAACTGCTTCTTAATGTGTCTCTCTACATCGAAGGCGAACCACACTGTGAATAAAAAAACAAAACAAAAACGAAACAGATAATCTGAACTCAGCACAACGAATGAAATTTTCACATCGGTAACCATTAAGCTACCTCCATATCTCCATTAAACTCAATTCTATCCTCGCGTACATGTTAAAAGAGTGTGAGTTCGATACCCGGTTAAGGCAGTGGATAATTTGTATAGGGGAATTAACGGGAGATAACTGATAACTGACATCTATTAAACATGGCACGGGGAACTAGAACAATCTACCCCAGTTAGCGAAATAAAGGGTTTACTTCGACATTCCAACCACCTGAAGAAGGCCGGAGCGTACAACGACCGAAACGTTGTAATAAATATGGCGACAAAGATGAGGACAATAGTCCGAATAATGTAAATAGTGTACATAATACCTCGTCTCAGAAATATAGACAGATACTGAACCTCGCGGGTGTTAGGAAAAGTTCCCTGACAGACTAGTTGGTATATTCCCACATTATTATACCAAGAAATATAGTCGAAACTTAAAGCTATGTTATTTTTTAAAATCTATGAGCTTGACTTAAAAAAGCAATGTCTATAGTTTTCAACTTATTTATTGTTTTGTTTCACTCAAATCGAAGACATTGACTGTTTGTCACTGTCGTTTTGCTGATTTGATTATTAAGCCCTGAACCTACCGGGATGACAGTTATTCAAATGTAGTTTTGCTTGAAAGCCGCACGACATGCTTACTCTGATGACAGAGGTTAAGAAGACCTTTTCAGCGTTGACGTTTTTCTTGACAGCTCCTTTGAATCACGGATAGAGAGAAATGAAAAGACAAACCCATTTCCATCTCTTTTTCTGTTCTCTGAGCAAATGCTAAGAACCCAAGACGAGATGAAGCAACGGTCACACTTTCAGAGACTTAAAACCGTACGTGTTGATCGAGGTGGTGGCTGATCGACTTTATTAGGCTGTTGGCCCTTTTCAGGAAAATGGACTTTCATACTGGTCAATAAAACAGCAAAGAAAAAAGTCAATGTGTTTATAAGTGCAACAAAGATGGTTTATGGAGAAAAAAACACCAATAAATTGAATAAATATCTTTTTATTCAAAAAATTAAGAAAATTTGAAATGACTTATCTCGTTGGCCGAGTCTCTCGCGGTTAAATGATCGTCAAGGCGAGTTGTTTGATAAATCTATCTAGGTATCCCACTTAATTGCTCATCAACTGTTTCCACCTCAATTTCTTTCTTTTTTCCTTTCTTTTTTTCTTTCAGTTATACTTTCTTTCTTTCTGCTATTTTTCTTTCTTGCCTTATGTTACTAATCCTTTCTTTCTTTCTTTCTTTATTTCTTTCTTTCTTTCTTTCTTTCTTTCTTTCTTTCTATCATTCTTTGTTTCTGTTACTTTTCCCTCCAGTCTTCATTACTCTCTGTATTTCTTTTCATTACTCTTTCTTTCCTTGTTTATTTCTGTTTTTGCTTTCCTTACATTACATTTTTTCTTTCCTTTTTTCTTTCTTTTTTTTTTTTTGCTCTTTATTTTCTTTCTTTCATTCTTTCTTAAATATCTTCTTTCTTTTCTTCCATTATTCTTCCTTCCTTTCTGGTTTTCTTTTTTTCTTTCTTGCATTCCATTACTATTTATTATTCTTCATCCTGTCTTTCCGTTACTTTCTCTTTCTTTCTTTTTTCTTTCTTTCTTTCTTTTTTTATTCCATTGCTCTTTGTTTTCTTTCTTTTGTCTCCCTTTTCTTCTCTCCATCAAACTGCATTAATTTCTTCCTTTCTAATTTTCTATCTTTCTATTACTCTTTCTTTCTTTCTTTCTTTCTTTCTTTCTTCTTTTCTTTCTTTCTTTCTTTCCATTACTCTTTCTTTTTGATATTTTCTTTCTTTCCATTACTCTTTCTTTTTTCTTTCTTCTTTCCTTCCTTTCTTTATTTCATTCTTTCTTTCTATTAAATTATCTTTCTTTTTTCTCTCTTTCTAATATTTTCTTTCTTTCCTTCCTTACTCTTTCTTTATTTCTGATATTTTTATTTCCTTCTTTCCACTATTCATTCTTTTTCTTTCCATTACTCTTTCTTTCTTTCTTTCTTTCTTTCTTTCCATTACTCTTTCTTTTTGATATTTTCTTTGTTTCCATTACTCTTTCTTTTTTATTTCCTTCTTTCCACTATTCATTCTTTTTCTTTCCATTACTCTTTCTTTCTTTCTGTCTTTCTTTCTTTCTTTCTGTCTTTCTTTCTTTCTTTCTTTCTTTCTTTCTTTCTTTTTAGTTCTTCTTTTCTTTCTTTTTAATTAAATCCCCTTCATACTCTGTCTCTACTTCCCTTCATCTAGTTTTTACTCTTTCTTTTTTGTCTATTATCAACAATATTCTCACCTTCTTCTTAACCTATACTTTCTCTTAATTTTCTTTTTTTTTTTTTTTTTTTTCCTTTTTCAAAAGGAGAATTTAAAAAATAGTTCCAATGCATCAAAACCAATTCAGCCATTTCAATGCTTAACTCCGATGCCTTGTCTCTAGATACCATTCAACTAGTTTTCTAAAGAATTATAGTTCTTCTAGGAAGCCCCAAGTGTCCAGACATTCATCTTGAACATTTAGTGACCTGATAAAATGATTGTGTTCAAGAAAGAAATGGTTACAAACCTTTTCCTGGCATCAGGTCAGCCAGTCGCTTGATTAACTGGCCAGCATCTATTAACTCATTTTATTTCCCTTCTAAAAAAAAAAAACTTTCAACGCAGCATTTGTATCTAAAACATAATTCCTATTCAGAATATCTGTTCTTTGTGGAAATTATTTGAAAATGTCTTGATGTTATGAAGTAATACAATATATTTCCCTCACCCCAAATATATGTCTAGATTTTTGCTTCTCCTGGAAAGAAAAATACTGGCTTCTTTTTTTTTATTCACTTTTATAACATTATTGAACACCTTCAAAACTAAACTTCTCTCTATTAATCATCTGAGAGACCCCTCTCTCTGCTTTCCATCAGTATGGCTGATGCTAGCCTCCAGGAAAGTGACTCATTGCGCTTTCTCGGGCTAACGTTCTCAGGTGCTATGAAGCAGAAAGACTATTTTGATACCATTGCTAGGTCATCTGCTAAGAAAATTGGTAAACTGTGTCGTGCGAGACAATCTATCATACATAGCTATAAGTCTACCGTTCGTCCATGCTTAGAATATTGCTGTCACATATGGTCCTGTGTCGCTGCTATTTACCTTGAACTCTTTGATAAAAATCCAAAGAAGAGTCAGCAATTTTATCGATCCTGATCTGGCAGCTCGGATTCAGTCACTTTTCCACCGACCTGAGGTTGCTTCTCTGTGACTTTTCTATAAATACTTTCATGCTAATTGTACGGATGAGCTCTTTGGTATAGTTTTGTATTCATATTGTAAATACTCATTGGGGCTAGTTTTTTAGAATTATTGTTTTATTCCCCTCCCCCCACAGACAATGAATTGTAAATATGGGGACTAGTTAGTATTTTCATAAGAGACAAAGAGGTATTATGGTGGTTGTAGTAAGAAAGGTACGTATGAATGTGTTGTTTTGGTGTAAGGAATATTGTTCGCACGATTGGGTCAGTGTTTGCGGCTAGCTAAGTTATAGTTAAGACAGAAGAAGACCGTCCTTTCCCCAATCCCCTTTTCGGCCTTGTGCCACATTTCTGTATTAAACAGAATAAATATCGCTTTTCAGTATAGTTTTGTTTTCATATTGTAAATACTCATTGGAGCTAGTTTTTAAATTGTTGTTTTATTCCCCTCACTCACAAACAATGAATTGTACATATGGGGACGTTAGGATTTTCATAGAGACAATGAGGTATTATGGTGGATGTCGTAAAAAAGGCTAGTAAGAATGTGTTGTTTTGGTGTTAGGAATATTGTTATATATTTGGATCAGTGTTTGTGGCTAGCTAAGACAGCAGAAGACCGTCCTTTTCCCCATTTCCCATTTTGTACCACATTTTCTGTACATAGCAGAAATAAATATCGCTCTTCGCTTTTAAATTGTTATTTTATTCCCTAAGACAGCAGAAGACCGTCCTTTTCCACATTTCCCATTTTGACAATGAATTGTACGCTTTTAAATTGTTATTTTATTCCCCTCTCCACACAGACAATGAATTGTTAGGACTTTCATGGAGACAATGAGGTATTATGGTGAATGTAGTGAGAAAAGTAAGTAAGAATGTGTTGTTTTGGTGTTAGGAATATTGTTATATATTTGGATCAGTGTTTGTGGCTAGCTAAGACAGCAGAAGACCGTCCTTTTCCCCATTTCCCATTTTGTGCCACATTTTCTGTACATAGCAGAAATAAATATCGCTCTTCGCTTTTAAATTGTTCTTTTATCCCCCTCTCCACACAGACAATGAATTGTACATATGGGGACTAGTTAGGACTTTCATGGAGACTATGAGGTATTATGGTGAATGTAGTAAGAAAGGTAAGTAAGAATGTGTTTTTGTGATGTAAGGAATATTGTTGTATGTTTGGGTCAATGTCTGTGGCTAGCTAAGTTTAATGTTTAGACAGAAGAAGACTGTTCTTTTTGGCCTTGTGTCACATTTTGTAAATAGTACAAATAAACATTGCTCTTCGTTATGGTACGTAGATTTTTTAAATTTTAGCGCAGTACCAGACTGGCGTCGGGATGTCATAAATTTACAGCTGTGCTGGCTAGATGTAGCCGTAAGTTCTATGCTAACAGTTTCTGTTTTTGCACTTCTCGGTTGTGGAACTCCCTTCCGGCCCCATACTTTCCAACCAACTTTAATCTGCAAAAATTTAAATGCAATGTCAATCGCTATGTACTGTTCTTCTGATCACTCTTTTCTCGCCCCTATCATCATTAAAGTTTCTGTTTGTAAATCTTCCACACCCAGTAACCCCTTGTGTCTTAGTGGCTTTCTTGTCTTGCATTGGGTGAAACCGATTAAAAAAAACATACGATGTTAAGTTAAAAATTATCCGCACTTTCACCATAACATATCTGTAGGCTTGTCAGTTGTGGGTGTTGACGGGCGTCCTGATCCTTCCTGCGTCGCGACTGCCTGGCTACTTTTAAACTTCTCAGTCTATATATACACACTTCTATATTGTAGTACTCTGTCGCCGCATTGTGTTAAAAGCCTTCAATGAATTTCAACCCCTGACACACCTTCCGAACAGAGAAATCGGATCACTGACCTTTGTTCCTCGTTGGTGCACACTGCTAGCGAAGCGGCCATGTTTACACTGTGACAGCAGCAAGAAAACTGGCGTGATCAAGCTTAAATTTCGATCACATGAATACAATAACACCAACTATAAGCACGCACGAACAAAAGGCAATGTGACAAAATTAAATATATGGCTAAAATGCAGATATTTTTTTACTTACCCTTTTAATTGCGTTAACATTTTGGCATTGTTGAAGCTGAAGTCTAATTAGATTGATTTCATTCTATTATTCTGCAAAATGGTTTATAGTATGAATAATTTATCTAATTGTCCTAATTATCAGTTATTATTTAAATATGAAAAACTTTAAATGTTTCTGCGCTCGTTGCAAATTCGATGAATGCAAATGTTTCTGGTTAAATTCTTTCCTTATTTTTTTTAATCAATAATCACAATTTCCCCATGTAATAATGATTATTAAATTTCCATTCTTGTTAGAGTGGCACTACCAATTCTAGAGATTATTGACCGCATTAGAACATTTACAGAATTCCGGTGACTTACTAAAGAAAGTCAAAACCATAGACATTGATTGTTTAAAAAATTAATTCTGTATACGCTAATATTCCGATTAATAAATTACTTAATTTATTAGAAAACATCTAAAAAGAATTAAACATAAATTTACCTGTATCCATTGATACTATTATCTGTGTATATTTTCTTGTTTAACGTATTATTGTCTCGTAAACGTTCGAGATCGCAGGTGTCAACTTCCAATTTATTTTTCTGATATATCTTACGAATTCTGGTGACTTACTAAATAAAATCAAAACCATAGTCACTACAAATTTATGACCAGTTTAAGTGCAGTACTAGATTGGCAGGGAACCTTTATTTTTCAGCTCTTGTGGAACTTTCTTTCGACTTCTAGAACTCTTTTCTTGTTTCTAGTTTGCCAGACAAGTTTGATCTTCAAAAATTTAAATTCAGTGTCAATCGTTATTATTATGTTAATTTACCCATGCACGCATGGACTCTTCCAGCTACAAATAGGCGCAGATACTGCCTTTTGGGGAGTGAAGTTTCCAGCAGTCAGCACTGACAGTCGGACCGAACATTCTTGCTGTAACACTCTCGTTTATATATGTTTATATTACTGTTTTCTGTTAATATATATGTTTAACTCAATTCCTCTCTTGCGTCTCTAATTCTGGCCCTGACAAGGCCACAACCGTTATCTTCTGTCTTAATTTCTGTTCTGATATTTTTCTCGTTCCTTAATGTTTTTCTTTCATACTCAGTAATTCCCTGCATCTTAGAGGCTTTGTTGCCTTTCTTGGGGTGAAATGATTAAACAAATCTCACGACACTATTCCCATTAATAAATTATTTAATCTGTGGGGAAAAAAAAACTTTAAAAACAAGAAATTTATCTCTACCAGCCGATAACGTGTACGTAGACGATATATACATATATGATGTTTGCCTGATGCCAGTTTTTTGACTGAGGAAGTGTTGTGTTTCCTACCAGCACCTTAGTAAAACATCCAGAATATTAAATACCTATATTTTAAAAAAATCTAACATAAATGAATTTTTCCTGATTTATTATATTTTAAATTATTTCAACCTGAGCAAGGAAATAAAGCCACCAAGCTGCTGATTTTTGAAGAATATGAGAAAAAGAAAAAAACATAATTAAGAAGAGAGAACAATAAAAGAACAGGAATTAAGAAGACAGAAGATAAAGATTAACATTGCATTTAATA